ACAATAAGAATGGTGGCGGAATTAATTAAAATAAGTTTAATCAAATAACCACTACTATTATGTTATTATTTGTATAAATAATAATTATTGTCACGACCGACACATCTGTTTTTCTTTGAGGAACATAATTAATCTTGTTGCGGAAGCAAATTTGTTATCTTGTATAACAAATTGCATTTACTTAATCTATGTGTTTTAAATCACTTCGATTTTTTTTAATGACTTGACATTTTACAATATAGTAAAATGCCTCTGTTCTGTAATAGATTAAGTACAGTAGCTCTGTGTTGTGTGTAATAGACAATTTTTTTTTCATCTCTTTTTTAAAGTAAATATAAAATATCTATAATTTAAGATCATATCTTAGTGATAAAATAAAATTGTAATTAGGCGAAGTCTATAAGAAAAATTGATATGAAGGTCTTAATAAGAGCAATTAAAAAATAAAATAATAATTTTTGAAATTTTATCTGCCTGCCTGTCTGTATGTTTATTCCGTCATCACGCAATATCTACTACACCAAATTAGGCGCGGTTTTCACTCTGTTCGTAATGTCTACTTAAAAACTAATGTATATTTTATCCTTGTATTTCATCTGTAATTTAAATAGACCACTCATTTTACTTTTTCTACTTCTGAAATAAACGCAAACGAAGTAGCTGGCAAAGGTTAGTTTTTTTTAAAACATAAATTGAGAATAGTGGCTGTAGTATTCTATATCTACATTTAAAAATATTTTTTTCTAAGCAGACGCGCGCTTCCGCGTTCTAAATTCAAACGTTTCTGTCTATGAAACCTCATCAAGGGCTGTGTTCAATAGAATTACTAGTGACTCTCGCTATAATATAAAATATAAATATAAATATAAAATTGATATTGATTAGTAAACTCTAATCAATATCAATTTTATTAGAATTGTTGTCGATTCTTTATTTTCTACGATACATTTTTGTTCAGTTATTCTAATTGTTGTTTTTGTTTTCTTTTTACAAACATATTCTTTTTCTTGCAATATTTGTATGCCAAAGTTTTTTCTATCAAAATTTGCAATCTATTTTTAACCAATTAATTTTTTTTTAATGGGTGATGTTGGATTTGTTAGCAGTATATGCTAATGGGGCACCAGTGAGAGATGACAGATGCGAATGAGAGCAGGTCAGTTGGTCCAACTTGACGAATTTAACTAGATTTTTTTTAAATTAATGATATTGGAATATCTATTAAACAAAAAAAAAAAAACATTTACTAGCGTCCATTTGGGTTGTAAGACAGATTATATAAAAATTCATCCATTACAATATTGTACGGTTCGACGACGGAAAGACAACAACTCGTTTGACGTTCAAATAAACAATTTAACATTGTACCAAATCCAACTGTTACTATTTTCAGTGGACCTTCGCAATTGTCACTGAAATATACTAGTTTTTTCCTATTATATAATCGATTGGGACGCGTTTGACCCGCGATTGTGACCTTGCACTACTTCTGTGCGTGCGGTTGGCGCATCGCCAGCTTCTAATATGGGACGGTATTTGATTGGCCTTCGTTACATAACCGTACAAAGGTGTACTTGACATCTACGGCTGTAGTTTTTTTTTTTAAGGATAATAATGGAATGGTAATCACGCCTGCGTTGTGGGGGGAGGGGATTGTTAATAACGGGGAGGTTAGTCCCCATTACTATTAATATAAGATCGACCTAAACTCAGTTCCTCCTGTAAACCATCGTGACTAATTTATGATTGAATTCATCACTGATCTGCCTTTTCGGGGGGAAAGGGATTGTTAGTAATGAGGTCAAATAGCCCCCTTACCAGGAAAATACCCTGTCAGGTCGACCTCTACGTGGTTCCCTCTGGAAACCATCGTGGTTAATTCTAGTCAGGATGGGCTAACTGACCTGTTTTCATCCTTATCACTCATCTCTCACTGGTGCCCCGCCAGTGTATACCGTTAGCGCAGGCGGGGTTACCATTCCATTATCATCCAGTAAAAAAGTGCTTCATTCTCACCTATCATCCCTCACTGGTAAACCCCCAACGTAACACAGGCGGGATTACGAAACCATTTCCACAAATTAAAAAAAAACGGACATCTCTTTATTATCCTTAATTGGTGTCCTGCCACCATAAATCAATGGCCCATTTATCGTTCCATTTTCGTCCAATTAAAAAAAAAATGCAAGATCTGCACTCACAAGAGATTTCAGCCAGTTATCGCGTGATACGAGTACAATATTCGTGTATAAATTTCCAATAAAATAATTGCCCACTGTTATGTGAGCAGTAGTCGAGATCTATTTGTTCTAGAAAAAAATGGGTCAAGAGTGTATTGGACTTTATACTAGAGTTCCGTATTTGATGCCTTTTGACGGACACTTTTTCACACGCATAGATGGTTCTCCTTACGCCACCCTCCATAGTTTTATAGTCAAATAGAAAAAATAAAATTCATTAGTACATGTATGTAAATATTAAAACTTAGGGAAGTGTCCAGAATACTCGAATGCGGTACTAATAATAACTGTTATACATACATACTAAAGTTTACATATATAAACAAATAAATATATATGACAAATGTACTCACACATATATGTGATATACTATATTGCACACGAAAATCAGAATAGACTTTTTTTAAAGACGATTTAGCCGAAAGCCTCTTGATTTTTTTATATAACTTAGAATGGCAAACAAGCTGACGGCCCACCTGATGAAAAGTGGTAACCGTTGCCTATAGACATGAGCAGTACCATGGACATACAGAGTATATTGTTTTGCTCATGATACCCCCCATGCGTTGCCATTCCTGAGGGCTCAGGTGTTATTCCTCTGTACCCAGTAAATTCGCGCCATATCCCACCCTTCAAACCGAAACAGAGCCATGCAAACACAACTGCTTCACGGTTGAAACACGAATGGTTATTATTATTATATTATTACACTATTATTATAATAATACATTACAACTTATCCGTTTTCGACACTGTCACACGCAACCCTAAAATACTACAAACGACCTATATAATCACGTGCTTTGCATAAACAACTCGGTAATTTTTTTTTTCATAACATTATGATAAACTTTTTTTTACTTGCACTTTGTTACTTTGACATAATCACTGACAATCACTAACAGCTGTGATTTTTTTTATCTGACTACCGGGAAACGGGTGTAACAGAGCAATTAAATGAAGACTTTTGCCTTCCTTGATCGTAAACTAAAGAAAAAAAAAGACTGACCTAATGGAAATTGGTAATGATAGTCTATAAACATGAATATTAAATAATAATAATAATAATAATAATAAAGCCTTTTATTTATTTCCATATTCCTAATATATATACAGTATTGTTAGTAATAATATTAATATATAAAAAAATAATATTAAATAATAGGCTGTAACAAATCATATAAATAAAAAAAAAAAGAAAATTACAAGCACGCCATAATGAAACTGGGCTATAGGCTATACATTGGCGGGCACCAGTGACGGATTGGTAAGGATGAAAAGGTAGGTCAGTTAGCCCATTGTGACGAATTCAACGATAAATTAGTGACTATAGTTTTCAGAGGGAACGTGTGAAAGTCGACATGAAAGGTATATGGATAGCAATGGGACTAACCTCCCCATTACTAATAATCCCTTCCCCCAGGTATAACCATGAATATCTATGGGTATATGTCTAGCCATAGACTTAGAATAACGTACTGTCTAACAGTCTTTCCATTTTACGTAGGTGTTAATCTAAGAAAATCTTGTCTTAAGGAAGGCGCAACCTTAAGTATGGTTTTGTACGCGCCTACCCTAATCTTATATATAGTATTCGGCAAAATGTAAAACATACCTTTGTCCTTTTCTTCAGTAGAATAAAAAAAAAATACGATTTAAAAGACCTTGTGAACAAGTTTTAAATTAAGTTTGTGAACTAAGTTGTATAAAAAAAAAAAGTTTATTTGAATCTAAGAACAATTGTTCTTTGATTTAAATAAATTTGAATAAAGATAATTCGAATCTGAAATAAAAATTTTTGCGTATGAAAATATACTGTTCAATTCATAGTTTACCTACTTTGGCATGAAGGTAAACGATAGTCTATTTCTACGTAACTTAATGTTTTTTTTATATGCAACTTAGAATGGCAAACAAGCTGACGGCCCACCTGATGAAAAGTGGTAACCGTCGCCTTTAGATATGAGCAGTACCATGGACATAACAGAGTATACTGTTTCGTTCATGATACCCCCTATGCGTTGCCATTCCTGATGACTTAGGTGTTATGCCTCTGTACCCTGTAAATTCAGATCTGTCACGTGTCCAATTTTACAAAACACGCACACTAGTGTAATCATGTTCTTATCTCGTTTTTGTGTTTGCATTACCTATTTGCCAATACGGCGGCAGCGGACTACCAGTCCCATTGCTAGCAATATACTGTCAGGTCGACTTCCACGTGGTTCCCCTTGGAAACCATCGTGCTGAATTCGAGATGTATTCATTACGATGGGGTAACTGACCTGCTTTTTCATTTTCACCTGTCATCCCTCACTGGTGGGACACCAGCGTATACCGTTAGCGCAGGCGTGGTCACCATTCCATTATCATCCAATAAAAAAAAAAACACGTTTTACTACTACCAAAGGGAGACTTTGTACAAAAGTCGATTGCTTGGGTACCTCTGTTCCATTCGTGTTTCAACCATGAAGCAGTTGTGTTTGCATGGCTGTGTTTCGGTTTGAAGGGTGGGATATGGCGTGAATTTACTGGGTACAGAGGAATAACACCTGAGCCCTTAGGAATGGCAACGCATGGGGTGTATCATGGGCGAAACAGTATATGTACTCTGTTGTGTCCATGGTACTGCTCATGTCTATAGGCGACGATTACCACTTTCCATCAGGTGGGCCGTCAGCTTGTTTGTCATTCTAAGTTGTATAAAAAAAGTCTATGGTTGAAAAACACTATACATATGTGAGAAAATAAAACAAAATCTAACGTAACTCAAATAACTTTATTGAAATTAAAATATTTTATCTACAATTACAATGTTTTACAATAAGGTAGGTAAATAAATACTCATTAGACAGCTTTAAATGGATGTTAACATTGGAATGATTCTTTCTTACGTTAGAAATAAATAAGACTCCCGCTCTAATAAACTTGTACATAGTTACTTATTGCAAGTAAAAAAAAAAAAGAAATGGTTTTATTATTCTTAATATTTTTCCCCTTTATTTGAATTTAGAACAAGTTTCCCGCTAAAAGTTCGTAAATGGCCAGTTACAAATCGATTACAAAGAGGTGAGAAAATTTATTTTATTTAAATTCACGGCCCTATCGGATTTCTTTTTAATATTTCTAAAGATGATAGATTATTTTCAGATTGCCAAGTTTATATTCAAAATGGTAGGTAATTAACGAGTATCTGAAATATTAAATTCTATACTCCGTTGGTATGGCCAGCAACGTAATTTGGTAGCATTCTTAAACATAAAAATTGCATAATTTCGTTGTTGGCCACACCATAATGTTTACTTTTTACAATTGCAACTTATATTCAATAACGCATCGACAACACCAAGGTTCAACATCTTACTGCGATATAAACAGGATTTAATTCCCCTCCACTTATTAGTAGGGTTCGCCCTGCAACAAAAAAAAAACATATTAAATGTCTGAAATTATTTAAAATTAAAATCAGCGACATAACATTTACCAGAGGGAGACTTGATACAAAAATCGTTTGCTCGAAACACCTCTGTCCCATTCGTGTTTCTACCGTGAAGCAGTTGTGTTCGCATGGCTGTGTTTCGGTTTGAAGGGTGGGATATGGCAGTAAATTTATAGGGTACAGAGGAATAACACAAGAGTCCTCAGGAATGGCAACGTATGGGGGGTATCATGAGCGAAACAGAATACTCTGTTATGTCCACGGTACTGCTCATGTCTATAGGCGACGGTTACCACTTTCCATCAGGTGAGCCGTTAGCTTGTCATTTTAAGTTGAATAAAAAAATATAAATAAAAAAAAACATGATAATGGTCTCATATTAATTTGGATGATCGACAATCCTGTTCATTGAATAAACAAAAGAAGAATTCTTTATTTAAAATATTAAAAATGTTATGTACATGTCCTTTAATGTGTATTTTTTTAATGGGTGATAATGGAATGGTAACCCCGTGTGCGCTATCGGTATATACTGGCGGGGCACCAGTGAGGGATGATAGGTGACGATGAAAGCAGGTCAGTTTTTTTTTTTAATCGCGCTATCGGTATACACCGGCGGGGCACCAGTGGAGCATTATAGGTGAGGATGAAGCAGGTCAGTTAGCCCATCGTGACGTATTCAACAAGAATTGTTCACGATTGTTTCTAGGGGGAACCACGTGGAGGTCGACCTGACAGGGTATATTGCTAGCAATGGGATTTGTGGGCCGCATTAGTAACAATCACTTCCGCCCGGAAAGCAGGCCAGTTAGCCCATCGTGACGAATTCCATTAACCACGATGGTTTCCAGGGGGAACTACATGGAGGCCGACCTGATAGGGTGTATTGCTGGCAATAGGTCAATTAGACCCCATTACTAATAATACCCCCCCCCCCCGATGTATTAAGTATCATTTAGATGTGTTATGTTGCCTGCCCAGTATCAATGTTATGCTTGTGTGGTAAAACATTATTATTATTTAATTTTTTTTTAATTAGACATTTTTTTTAATTCGTAAATTTTTTTATCTCCATCAATTCAAAACCTACTGATTCGATTTTAAAAACTCTTTCACCTTATAAACTACATATTATTTTAGAAAATACTATCTACCCGTGAAAATCCTGGCCGAATCACTAGTATAGAATAAAACAATTTTTAAATGAACTGCAGTCGACTGCACGAAACAATTGCCAAAAGGAGTAACATTGTCGCATTGCCATAATTTAAGGAAGCCACCAGTACTCGCCTGCCAGCCAACAATGAAGTGCGTACTTTGGTAACATAACTTGGCAAGAATACTAGCATATGTGGCACACGTATTTGAGAGTCGTTGCGTATTTTTAACCCTTCTTTGCATGATTTTTTTTATTGGTGAAATAAATCAAGGTTAAATATAAATAATTCTTGTTCAAAATTTAAAAAAATAAATTTGTCAGAAGTTTTTTTTTTCTGCAATGGACACTAAAAAGGTATCCAGAATTTTTTTTATGCAACTTAGAATGGCAAACAAGCTGATGGCCCACCTAATGGAAAGTGGTAACCGTCGCCTATAGACATGAGCAGTATCATGGACATAACAGAATATACTGTTTCGCCCATGATACCCCCCACGCGTTGCCATTCCTGAGGACTCAGGTGTTATTCCTCTGTACCCGGTAAATTCACGCCATATCCCACCCTTCAAACCGAAACACAGCCATGCAAACACAACTGCTTCAAGGTAGAAACACGAATGGAACAGAGGTGTCCAAGCAATCGACTTTTGTACAAAGTCTCCTTCTAGTAACTATTGTAAATTGTCGTTAAGGGAGAAAAGGGATTGTTAGTAATGTGGATCCAATAACCCCACTGCTAGCAATATACCCTATCAGATATATCCTCTCGGATAAGAAAAAAATTCCAAATCGGTCTACAACTGACGGAGTTACGAGGTAACAAATATACAAAAAATACAACCGAATCGGAAGGGGGGAAAGGGATTGTTAGTAATGGAGACTGAGAATCCCATTGCTACCCATTTGTTCCCATACCATACCATATATATACCATTGTTACCATACCATTTTCACCCATCAAAAAAAAAAACCGAATCGGAAACCTCCTTCTTTCAGAAGTCGGTTAAAATTGTATAGAAACGAACAATTGACACGACAATGAAACAATCCACGTCCAATAGAAGTACTAACTAAAAATTAACACCAATTGAATGCTTCGATTGATTTCTAAATTAATTTAGAGATTGCTACATTACCAACGATACGGCTGTGGGGGGAAAGGGATTGTTAGTAATGGAGACTGAGAATCCCATTGCTAGCAATATACCCGACCAGGTCGACCTCCTCGCGGTTTCCCCTGTAAACTATCATGGTTAATTCCTGATGGATTCAATATGATGGGCTAACTGGCCTGTTTTCATTCTCATCGATCACCCTTCACTGGTGCTCCGCCAGCGTATCCCGTTAGCGCAGGCGGGGTTACCATACCATTTTCACCCATTAAAAAAAAAAGACGATATGGCTGTATTTTACCTATCTTTCCATGGCCGTGCGAAGCCAGGGCGGGTCGCTAGTGACAAATGTAGATGAGCACCGACCCTGGCACTGACAATGTCCCAAACACCATGGCTATTAAAATAACCACCCATGAAACTATCGTTGCCTTGTAACATGGACCTTGTTCTTTGACGCGAGCTAAAAATATCCAACTACTCGGAGTAAGCGTCACCCGCGCATTTATTACAATGTGTAGGAAATACTTTTACGCTGTATTTATGTAAGTACTATAAGTATCATTATTTTTTTTTTACAACACATGTGGCAAACGAGCATGCGGCTCACCTGATGGTAAGTGACCACCGCCGGCCATGATTAGTATTATACAAAAATTCTCATCTCCCCTCTTAAGGAGAGGAGATGGCAACTAACCCCCGGCAGAAGCACAGTCGGCCGGGGTTCAGGGCCCCAGGGAGAGAAACCGGCGTACAATGCGGGCAGTATCTAAGAGCACCGCTTTCTGCATCTTTCCCGGGAGTAAGCCGCCTCGGAATCCCAACCGTCTGAGATGTTCCAGACTGGTTGGGATAAGACCATTCACCGACATAACGATTAGGATGATTTCGGTGTTTGTATTATTATTATGTACATACATACATATATAGCTGTCACGCCTGTCTCCAATTAGAGTAAGCAGAAACAATAGAACGTCAAATGATTCGATTCAAACAAGCCTTTGCTTCCTTCACATTCGTCAATCTTTTCATACACGCTCGTCAGTTACTTTTAATTTGGCCCTCCTTCAGCACGTCGCCTATTCGGTCGACATATGTCCGTCTAGAGCGACCTCTATGGACATCTCCATTCATTCTTGCTCGATAAATCTCTCTCGTAATTCTTCTTTCATGCATCCTCACCGAATGGACAATGAAATGAATTTTGTACAGTCTCCCTCACCAGAGGGAGACTTTGTACAAAAGTCGTTTTCTTGGGTACCTTTGTCCCGTTTGTTTCTACTATGAAGCAGTTGTGTTTGCATGGCTGTGTTTCGGTTTAAAGGGTGGGATATGGCGTGAATTTACAGGGTACAGAGGAATAACACCTGAGTCCTCAGGAATGGCAACGCATGGGGGGTATCATGGGCGAAACAGTATACTCTGTTATGTCCATGGTACTGCTCATGTCTATAGGCGACGGTTACCACTTTACATCAGGTGGGCCGTCAGCTTGTTTGCCATTTTAAGTTGTATAAAAAAGAAATCAACGCAACATTCTCTTTTCAATTTTGTCACTACATCGTCTTTCATTCCACGCTTCTTTCTAATTGCACTGTTTTTCACTCTACCTTTTAATGTAATACCACACATACTTCTCAGAGCTCTCATCTCTAAATTAACATGTGTAATTAAATTATTATTTATACTACATTTCAATTTATCTTTAGATAGATAGATACTCTTTATTGTTTCCTCCAAAAGATTACAATAGTAAACTTATTATAGATACAAACAATTAGAAAAAATGTTCACAGTGAGAAAACAATGGGCGGCCTTATCGCTAAAAGCGATCTCATGCAGGCAACCTTTGGATGGAGAGGAGTAATTATAAACAATTAAATATTTAGTCCCTTTTTTCTCCCTTTTTTAGTCCTATTATTTTTCTGTTACGCCTTGACCAGACACAATTTTAATTATTCCTCTTTGTCTAAAGCCGTGTTGGTCCCGGCATAGAATGGGCCACTCCTTCCTTTCCCTTTGGGTGTCGTAAGAGGCGACTAAGGAAGCTTATGGTGGAGAGATGGGCAGCAGCATCTCTATGAAAACATCTTTAAAAGCCTAACTGCGGTTGCCAACCCGTCTGCCAAGTATGGCAACTACTGGCAAAACTCCTCTTATGGGGAAGGCTTATGTTCAGCAGCGGACGACGGCTGAAATAATAATAATATTAAGGTTGCCTGGAAGAGATCGCTATTTAGCGATAAGGACGCCCACTATTGCTTCTTTATCTTGCTTTATTTAATTAAGTTTATACAATTAATTATTCATTTTGTTTATGTACATATTGTTAATCTTTAACTATCTGTATTTTTTTATACAACTTAGAATGGCAAACAAGCTGACGGCCCACCTGATAGAAGGTGATAACCGTCGCCTATAGACATGAGCAGTACCATGGATATAACAGAGTATACTGTTTCACTCATGATACCCCCATGCGGTACCATTCTTGAGGAGTCAGGTGTTATTCCTCTGTACCCTGTAAATTCACTGCCATGTCCCACCCGTCAAACCGAAACACAGCTGCTTCACGGTTAAAACACGAATGGGACAGAGGTACCCAAGCAATTGACTTTCGTACAAAGTCTCCCTCTGGTAGATTCTGATTATTCTTTAAAGAGAACAATAATGTGTTTTCAATCATTCATTTTAAGTCTACAAA